AAAAGCGCACTTAAACACAGCGCTTTAAAATCAATACGCATCACATAAAACCCACCGTGTAACGAAGAGTTAAATTGGTAGACCTAAAAATTCAGAAATTAGCCAATTCTCCATGAAGGCTCAAGGCTCAAGGCAACAGGTGCATGAAATCACACGGCTAAATGGATCCGCGTCCCCTCTAGATAACTAGAGTCACAAATCCATCACGTGCTTTTGATTTCATGGACTTGACTTCCACGGAGAAAATTCTCAAATCGACGCACACGAAACCACTGACCCATGAATCTATCGAACACTATCGAATTGTCGAAACTCGTACGCAGAAATAATTTTCATATAGAAATGCACACTGTAGAAACATTTTTTCCTGTATGAAAAGCACTTGGGCCACTTCCGAACAAATGTTCTTACATTTTCTAAACATTTTGCTGGACTTAAATCGCAAATATGGAACACTTTGCTCGTGGCAACTTTCACTCAATCGCGAATCGTCTTGTATCGTTGAGTAAGCTGCTCTTCCGAAACAACAATAAGATCTCAAATAACCTTCTGAGAAACACACCGTTCGACGAAGGTCTCGCGAAAATGGAAGCGACAGGTCTGGTGAGAAAGTAACAGCTCGAAGAGGCGCTTGCCAGATTACGTTACCTCTCGGTTTCGGGTTTACGCATCAACGAAACATTAATTTTGCTTATTTTCTCAAGGCTGCCTTTTCATCTTTTGTATCCCTGATTCTGAGTACGCGCGTCGTTTCGGGACCAATGCCTTTGCTCTTATAATGCTTCATCTTTTAATTCTTACAATCATGTGTGCATCTATGTACTCATGTACTTATATTTTACTTTTCTTATTCAAATTTTACAGATGACCGTTCTTGAAAAACTTACAAACTCTTGAAAATGTTCTCTTTCACGTGCAATAATTAGTTTTGTTATCCTTCTTGTTTTAATGATAAATGTATTCAAAAGTCATTTTAATCTACAAAATGGCAATAGAGAGTTTTACAAAATACAATGTTGGTATATAATTTTGGTATTAAATAATAACGATTTTAAAAAATGTCGAGACCGGTTATCAATTTTTTAAACAATTCTGGAAATGTAGAAAAATATGTGGGTTACTAGAATATTTTCCTTTAAAATAAATTGCGTTGAATTAATTTAGGCGGCCTTGTGACGATAAGTTTAAGCGTTTAAAATAAACAATTATCTTAAAAAGTCCCTTTCCAGTTTGGGGCTCTTGTCCCAAACTCGCTACGAAAACTGGCAAGAAATCAAATCAAGTTTACGAATGTAACAGGTGGTCGAATTCGATTTATGATGACCAGCTTAAATCAGGAATCGCAACAAGTTCTGATTAGACAAAGACAAACGAGTCTATGAAAGATGTGGAGAATGGGAAATGGATTCGATCATTCGGAAAGTTACTCGACCAGAAATAGTCCGCTCCACTTATATTCGCCGTTCCATTTATATTCTCCCTTACCAAGATGGTTAGGTCCCGATAAAATAGAATCTACTTTGCCAAGTTGGAAACTCAATTAGAAAGCTCGATTAATAATGTCAACCAAACGAATCAGCTGCAGTTGACTTCCATTTTTGCGCTCGCGACGTACATAAAATATCGCAGTATTAAAAAAATATCCGTATTAATTAAAAGTTAAAATTTAATCTGTAATTACGAAGGGTGGAATTATATGCGGATTGAATGTTGCATACCTACGTAGTTTAATGAAACTTTGCTTTCAATTACGCAACAAACGGAAGAGTTGCTAACGCGAACTGATTGCATGAGATTATAGCCGGGCATCGCTATCAAACGGTTTGTATCAAATGAAACAGCGATAGACTGATACAGCATGAATTTCGAAGGATCGTTTGGGTTAAGTCGATCTTGTCGCTGATGTATCCACTGATCTAAACCGCGAACTTCGCCCGGAAGGCACGTTCCGCTCTTAAACAGTAACTTTCCGAGAATGATTAACAGGCAGGCAAGCAAACGATTTGATCCGAACGAGAAACGAGGGACTTCATGTCACTTTAACGTAAATTCAAGCTCTAACTTTGTTACTGCGCTCCACTTCCGCTCCGAGAACGGTCAGAGGGACAGAGATAGAGAACGGAAGATGGAGAGAAGGAGAGGGGGGGGGGGGGAGAAAGAGCATCGTTCGGATAGAATTGCGCGAATACGATGCAAAAGCGATCGGGTAGGATATCAAGCGTAGGATACTGAATGTTTATATGCACACATAGTACTATACACTTTGATAGTATTAAATTTCGATAATAAATCGTTCGACGAAATTAGAATCTCTCTTGTTTCCAAAATTAAATATAATTTTCAACATTAGTAAAAAGTTGAAATACACTTTGAACTTTAATTTTTAACATGTACTTAATAAACCTGCTTAAGATTTTAATGAAGATTAATATGTACAATTAAAAGTTTTTTAATTAACATCGTAAAACAAAGTGAGGGGAGGAAGGAGCTGCGTAACATATTTTCCGGATCACTTTAACTTGTATGCAATTAGCAGGGGTTTCTAGACCTACTAACATATATGTTAGAAGTAGATAATAGGTACAGATGACGAGCAACGTTTCGAGCGTTCAACAACACGCTAATATATTTGCTAACGACACTACGCCGACGCAAGAAGTGTCAACAAGATCGTAAGAGCCTATCGAGAAAATATATCTCGCTGTTCTACTATACCAGCTCCCATCGATGTAATAATAACGTTTCCTTAATGTCGTAATCGTCTACGATTAAGTGAGGCTTAATCGATATTACCTAGAAATTTAAACCAACTCGACGACGTCGCGAAGACACCAAGGCATTGCCCTAAGGAAAATTTAATAACGCCTACCCGACGACCATTTCTCCCACAGATATTGAATCGACCTTACCGCTACAGTTACCTAAGCCATACTTCATCTCTATCTGCGCAAACATTATTACAAAACGCGGCTCTAGATCGGTGAGTGTAAATGACTTTCACGCATTCAGTGGTTTGTCGAACTCGAGTGGTAGAATGACGTCGACGTCATAACTATAGCCGCTCTATTTTCGCTTATCTCCACTGGTCTTCTCCCCTGCTGAATCTCTCTCGCACTCGTGTATTTCTGGCACGGCCTCTCGCGAAGTACGCACGTGGGACAGAAGCGCGAAGACACGAAGTTCGAAATATTTCGAATAAATTTATTTTCATTTTCGTTCTTTTCTCGTGTAAATTGCCTGCGATTCCATGAACGATAATAATAGCATCGCAATGAAAAGGATACTGTTCAAATATCAACTCCACAATGTTACTGTACATTTGGAACTCCAGAATTTTGTCTGAACGTAAGAAAATAAATGAGGTAGACGGGCCGCGGCAGCTGTTTCGTTGTCAACATATTAATTAGTATTATAGTTTGTCAGTAGCAACATTGATCTTTTATTTATTTCCAATAAATGCTATTCTATTTGAATTAAAATGTAAAGCGTGTGCTCTTGTTAGAGAAGTTTAGTTAAATTAGAAATTTAAGAACTATGGGGATAAAATGGTACGTGAATCTCTTGTAACTATGAAAAAAGTTTTGAAGTTTAAAGTTTGAAAGAATATGTAATCTCTGAGTCTCTCTGGTTGGCAATTTGACTGAAACTACTCGCTATGAATTTTTATTGCACGGTTAAATAAATGGTTCTTTTAATGGCAAAATAATGTAACAGAACGCCAGTGACATAAAGCACGAGTTTCATTAAATTGTAACTTTAAATGTAAACAGATACTAATCCGTTGTAAACAGTATTTTATTACGTTAATGTGGTACTGCAAAACAATTTAATCGGCAATCGATTCATCCGAAACCATACACCGTTACAAAACTATCAAAAAATTCAACAGTTGCTTCGCCCACATAGTTACCGATACTTTCGTGGTAAATCGAGAATGTTTGTACAATGCTGAAAGCTGTCAATAATTTGCGTCGCAAAAGAGCGAGGTGTATGTGTACATGCACACTGAAAAAGTTTCACATCGCTTTTGCTGTAAAGCATGAACGTCGATGGTACGTGAAATGTTTGGGAAACCGCAACGATAATAGAGAAGTTAGAAAATATTTAAGGGTACAAAAGAATTTAATATGAAGACGCTAAAAGTATTCGCGATATTAAATATACCTATTGTAATTCTGAAGTATATTTCTCCAGAGATGTTATAGCATGTGCATTATGAAAGATTCTATTAATCGTCAAATCTACTTGTTCAAAAATTAAAATTTCTGAAGCACTTCTCTCGAGGAGTGCTTGAAAAACCTCCTGGGGGATCTAAAAATTTAATTATCTGAATTCAACGTTCTGTCCTATAAATTCAAGACCCTTTCGAGATTTTAAATTCTAGATAGTAGAATCACGTAGAGCCATTTAATAAATAGACCGTTACACACCAAGTTATCCAATGAGAATTAATTGTTGCCTCGTAATTTTGTGAAAACAGTTCTTGTTCTGGTACTTTGAGCATTTGGTTTTACTTGGGTAAAATAATTAAGATAACCATCCTCGGTAAGCTGCTAACCTTGTCGAAGAAAACCTCCTATCTGGAGGGCAATACCCTTAAAGAAGTATGTGTGGCAAGATACTCTCGGTGGTTGCCACTTTCTGAAATAAAACCAGCGGTATCCGTGAATTTGAACTCGGGTATTTTCGTTCATTTGTTTACCAGCAGCGCACATTTCCCTGCGCCACACTATTATTATTGCACATTATTAATTATACGGTTTGTTTATTAATTATTTTACTCCATTCTATATCAAGTGTTTTATCTCTTAAGCCCATAATAGACAATCTATTCTCTTTCTCTCGCACCTTATTTATCCAGCGTATCTGCACTTTCTATCTATCCCATCGCAAGCCGTGGTCGACACCAAAGCTTTCCCCTCGACGTTTTCGCGTAAGGAGCGAAATCGTTTCCTACGGTTGTTTACATTTACAACAGGTGGAATAGATCTATTTCTGACCTTTGCTGGTGAGACTGAAGCTACGAAGCCTGTAACTATCCTCGTCCTCGCCTTCCTCCCGCGGTGGCATCTGAGACGAGACGTCAGGCACATCCAGGAAGGCGTTGCTCTTCCTCTGATGCGTATGGTGCATGCTCTGGCCCCTTCGGCTCCCTCGTCTCCTGATCCCCGGGCTGACGTCATTCTCGGTCAGTCTAGGCTCACTGCTGCAGTGGGCAGACTTCATGCTGCTTCCCTCATGATGATGATGATGAGCGGCGGCTGGAAGCAACAAAATTATAGCCAATACTTACTCAATATCGGACGTAGACGTAGTCAGATTGTGTCACAAATTCGTAACGTATTTAGCAAGTTCCAGCAACGATATTACATACTATATACTTTGTATTGATATTCCACACAGATGTTCGATGACATCACTATCGATATCAATCGTGATAGGTCAAGCTATTTGGTCGCGACTTCGACAAAAATTGCGGCATAACCGATATTAAAATACGATTACCAGCGGAAAACGCGTAAAGTAAAATATAAAAATTTACTGTGTCGTTTAATGTGCACGAATAGTATAAAAAGAATTTTAATGATTTTATCTGCCGTTTCGAAACTGTCCCTCTGTTTCCGAATTTTATTTGTGCGTTTCATAAAAAAAATGTGAAATACCCATATTCGTGTCGAGAGCACTGCAGTTTCTGTGTCTAGAAAAATTTCATTTTCACAGGAATACATTTTCGATATTTTACAATGTAATGTCGCACTGATAGATTTTATAACGGAAAAAGTCTAAAATGTGTTTCAATGAGAGATAATGCTATTTTAAAACAAAACCCTTGGCAATAAAAGCAGAAGAAACTGCTCTTTTTTTTGACTGCACACCGATCAGCAAAGCGCTCAAGAGTAAAAACTAAGAACAGTATTTTTCAAAGGCTCCTACACCTATTACATCGCACAGTCGACGTGTGGAAACTCAAGTGATTTAGTACAACCCGGGGAGGGCTGGGAAATGAAATTAAACGACGCGGAAAAGAAGAGCGAGCTCAGGCTTGCATTTACGAATATTTGCTTCGTTAATCGCCAAGTTTATCGAGCAGACGAATTTCCATTTTATCAATTTCAAGAAAAGAGGATCTCTTGTTTCAATGTTATTTTGCGATGGAAGCTTTGAAAAAGAAGTACAAGCTTCGAAACGATAGACGCTAATTCTTATCTGCGATATTGAAACGATAGAAAGCTATTCAATCTAACAATTAATTCTGCAATACGTACCTCGTAATTATGAGTGAGTGATATCTAATTTATATTAACAACTCACACGGTATTATATGTTACTATATTGACAGTAATATTTTTGGCAATCTTAAATAATTTTATGCCAAGTGCACATATATCGACAAATTAAGCAGATAATTTTTAAACTATTAAACTATCAAAATAAAGAAATGCGATTTAAATGAAAGAGCCGTATTGAGTGACAAGATTTGTTTAGTAACGTTGGCAATTTCTACCGTTCCTTGACGCATTATACCGAAATTCTAGCTCATTATCTTTCAATTAAGACTTGACAGTCTTGCTCGCATCTGCGTACAAACCAGGAATTATCGCTCTAATTATGTATATCTGTTTCTCATGAATACGCATCTTCGTGTTTCCGCGTGCGTAGAGCACGGCGAAATCACTATATACCTAGCGACGAAACTGATTTCTCGACCTGCGAAGAGACGCGGTAGCATACGACGAGACGTGTTCGGACTGTCAGTGACCTACTAGCCAAATCCATGTCCGAGAATAGCGACCGCCAATAATTTCAAGAACTCTCGCCAGGCTCTAGAGCGACGTGCTACCGGTGCAATATCGATACACTTTGCTCTTTCGTCAAGAGGGATCGCACGTCACCGATGACGTATCTACGAGTTTATCGGACACCATCGGAAGTTACGTCCGGTCACCGCATCACGTAATCCTGTCGCGCAAAATAGACGTTTACGTATTATACCTCGAGAAAGGGAGAGATCTGATCTCGGCTAATGCTCGTATCGCGATTATTGAGAAAGAACTGGACACGCGAAATGGTCATTTGACAATTTAAGTTCTCCTAGTGTACGAATACAGAGCCTCGAATTAAAATGTTTCAAGAGAAAGGTGTGCCTTTGGAGAACAGATCTGGGAACTTCTTAAAACGTGAGAAATTAGCGAAACTTGTCAATTTTAAACTGATTCGACAGAGCGCTTGTACTTAGAAATCCCCGACTTGTTGGATATTTAAATGCCTCTGGGGGTTGTAAGTCTTAATCAGGTCGCGGGATCCACCCACGCAACGAATAAATTATTACTCATTGTCCCCCCATCCTGCCGTTCTTATCATTACCTTGAGCGGCGGCGCGGCGTCGGATGCTTTTATTTCCGCCGGAAACACGGGCGCTTTGGGATCTTGTAGCCGGTCTTCGTTTTCTCGTAGGTGTACTGCTATCCGGCGTCCCGCTGCCGCTGTCCCTGTCCCGCTCCCCTCTTTCCCGCTCGCGAGCTCCCGAGGGTGGCATTGCCTCCAGCATTTGCTCCATGCTGGAAAATCCTGGGGCACAAATCGAAGCCGATCTGGTTTTCCGGCGAAAAGAGTCTTCCGCCATTCTTTTAACCTTCTTACCACAGCCACCACTGTCCCTCCCTTCCTAAAGCCACTGATCACCACTCGGATCTCTCGCCCTCTCTTAATAATTTTATCTTCGCCCAATTTCTTGATAATGGCGACTTTCCTCACAATTTAATATCGAATCTCGCTGTAACCTGATGGTAAAATTCTTATCCTTCACTTACCGATCACAAATTTTGACGATTTGTGTGTTTTGACTCGCCTGTGTCGAGCACTGGTTTTTATCGCAATTCTTCCACACTTAAACGTGAACGTTCATAAAAGTTCTTGCACAATCTTCTTCCAACTCGAAGTCCCTCGGAAACGTCGCGCCGCGTCTGACTTCCAAAATGTCTCTTCGGGTGTCGCGAAGCTTCCATTCGATTATCGGAAAAGGTATCAATTCGGGAAAAACTCTACGGGATATCCAGGCGAGGATGTCATAGATCCGGCGTTACATCGACAGATTCTGTTACGCTCCGAAGATAATCCCGCGCGTTCTTCTTGACTCTACAAATAAAATATGGGAAGTTTGATTTCCAACTGATCACGTACACGCGAATAATACGGCCAGAGTAATTACGACCGTGGCAAATTGCGTCTCTCCTGAACTCTGAGTGAAATAACTGGGTGTGTGTGTATTTTGTTTCCGTTCCCGCACCTCCCCCGTTATTTTGCCTAACGGATGCGAGCTTGCATGTTAATTAGATCCACCCCGTCGATTAGTACCTTGATTACTCTATGAACGAACGCGAAAGCTCCGAAAGCTTCTATATAAATACAGAAATATCGTACAATATTTCTTTGAATTGTGAAAACTTAGAGAAGAAGAAGAAGGTGTAATTTTATTCTTCAAATTAAAGATAGCTAATTTAAAAGAGAGGAATTAAAGTCTGGATGTGTGCAGAAAAGGAGACAACAGAAACGCAGACTTAAAAGCGCTAAATAATTGGAATTTTGCACTTAACGTTTTCTTTCAAATATGAGTTCAAGTTTTAAAGCTCCGGTAATATTTAACTTAATCAAATCCAATTATAAAGTTCAAGCGATTGGAAATGTGTCTTGTCTCGTTCCGATTAAAGGATAAAGATCAGTGACAATATCAAGAACGTAGTTGGCAGCATCCGAAGTTTCAGGCGGAACTCGGCATAGTTGAAAGACAACTCTGCGGACTGTCGAAGCTGTCGAAGTTAGTGAACGGTGAACGCGATACATCGGAAAGATATCGGTGCGTGAAGACGTTCCGGCAACTATAATCGAGTATTGGCAAAAGTAAGCTCAGTCCGACCAATACAACTTTGCGATACCTTATCAATATATTCTGTTCGATGAAGTTCGTGCCTGTCGCGTATTTTACTTTGCTACCAGAGAGCGTCGAGGAAATTAAATAACTTGTTGCCGAAGATAATTATCTTTCCATATCCAAGTAATTTTACTGATACGTATTATTACAACTTTATACATGACTGTGCTGTTTTAATTGTTTAAATATTTATTTTTCTGCACTTTCCATTTAATTTTCTTCTAATCAAAGTATTTGGTGTAGTATTTAAACACTCCTAATAATTCCTCCCGACTAGGGAGTCCGTTTACGAAATAAGCACAAGTAACAAAGTATTGGCTGCGTTCGGCAGGAAAAGCTGCTTTGCAACTGTCGTAAAATTCGTGAATCTGATTGGTGTGTTCTCTCAATCTTGTGTGAATTTAAGAGCATACGCCAATCAGATGCATGAATTTTACAACAGTTGCAAAGCAGCTTTTTCTGCCGAACGTAGCCATTAATAATGAGAAACAAAAAAAATCTGATAATAATGAAATTAAATCTCGTTATTTTCCTTTAATTGATTTAACCACCCTCTTTCTATTATAAAAGGAAAATAAGATAATCCACATAAAAACCTATTTTACGTCCGCTATTATCACAATGCAAGTATCGCGAGTTCTCGTCTATAAAAGGGGCATAAAATAACAATGACAAGGAAATATCTTTAACGAATGCGATGTTGCAACGGATTTTATTTAAAGCACTTCTCTCGTAAGGTGTCTCCTTTGTGAAATAACATATCACGCGAGGGCGCGTTTACCATAGATAGACTGGAAGGATTAAGTAGAGGAACTGAAGCTTTGCTCTGACAAGAGTGAGAAAAGGTCTTACGAGCTCCTCATTGACGTTACGCGTTAAAATCGATAGCCTGCATAAGTGCTTTATGTATTTACGCGATATAACTTCACATTATGATAACGAAGTTATCGTAAAAATTATACGCCACCTCTGTAAGAAGTTACTTCCTCTTTGTACCTTGTTACTTTTACGACTGTATTATTGTTGTAACAAAGAGAGCTTTACAGTTTACGACGTGGACATACTAAAAAGATAAGACTTATATCAGTTCTCTTACGTATAAATAATTTAAATAATTCAATCACGGTTTTCTCTTGTTTTTTTCTTCATTATTATTTGATCGTACTTTTCTCGCGCACCACAACGTGTACTATTAAATGAATCCATCGGTATTTTTAACAACCTCTATTCAAGTCTACAATTTCTTCAATTATCGGACATTCAGATCTAATCCGATTGTGAATACAGGAATCAAACACTGATTCTTGTGCGCGTAAATAATGTTACAAAATACGCAAAATAATATTGAAATGTAATTTTCCCAAGTTTTCTAACACTTCCGCGTTGAGTTTTAAATTGCCTTTTCACATGTGTATGCATGTAAAGTATTGTTTTATCTATTTCTTGCCAAATATTACATATCTTATTTCTGAAGTTAAGTCTCATTTTAAAGTTATAGAGGGAGAGAGATAAAATAAACCCACTTTTGAAACATTACCAACTTGACCAGAATACGAAATATGATATATTCGCTTCGGTAACACATTTAAAACTATGGACATACGTACAAGATAAGTGACATCACTGCTCCTGATATTCATTGAATTAGGAATTTATAATGGAAGTTGCTTGCGTAGAACAAATTAAATGTAGCGTAAAATATTTTTATCTTAATGCATCGCATTAATTGCCGCGGCAATAATTGAAATAAATTAGTACACGTTAATATTTTCCATAAATATTCAAAATGCACAGAAATGTAATCGTAATTTTTATGGCCCTCATATCAAACGTTCAAAATGCACTTTATTACAGCCAAGGCAGCACAACGATAATTTACATGTTAAACTATAGACTTTTTCGTTCAATCATTCAGTGCCATTTAACTCACTACGATTAAGGGCAAAACAGAGAAGGGAAAAGAGAGAGAGAGACAGAGAGAGACCGCCCTTCGACAATTTCAAAGTTCGGAACATCGGTTTTTCTCTCCCGTGCAACAATCACTCCGCTCTCCTCGTCGACTTATTTTTTCCGACGTCTAATTATAGATAGTGTTTCGCATAAGTCTTCTAGGGAGATGCATAAACATCTCCGCCGATCTGCCCCCCCCCCCCCCTCCCTCCATATGTTCATCTCCATGTTTTACTCCTTCAAGAGCCCCGCCACGGCCGTAATTATCCCCCTTTTTCGATAAACTCGACAACCTCTGCCCTTTAACCGTAATTATATCGAGGGAGACGATATTCGCGCGCCTCCCCGTCTCGAGATATCGCTCCAAGAAATCGCCGATGTCTACTCCCATCTCAATCCGAATTCGGGATCTCTCCGGATCGACATGCCGCGCGCGACCGATCGATCCTTACCACTTTAGGCCGTCCACAACCGTGGGATATCTCCTCGTCATTTTCTACTTCATCTTTCCTCCGCGATTCACGGCGGATACGAATCACATGTCTCGATTACTCACACACGAGCGCGACTCGGCCGACACGATGCACGTCCGACGATGCGCGGCACACTGACGGGTACCCGGCGTCGCGGCGGCCGCTAGGGCGAGAACCGACGCCAGGCGTCGGCGTCGGCTCTCTTGCACGCCCTCGTCACCGACCGCAACGAAGACCACGATGAAGACCACGACGGGAAAACGACGGCGAAGTTGGTGCGCGTCCAATCCCGCGCGCTCTTGGGCGATTCGCGAGGTGCTTCGCGGGGAATGACCAGAGGCCGCGGAACTCGGATTCGACGAAGAGCTGTTGATAATGCCGTACATTAATTATTTAAATCCAATTAAAACGGACAAGTGCAACATCACGCGTATATGAGAAAGTGAACAAACGGAACTGAGTGTGTTCTCGAGATGGGGAAAGATCCGATTGTTGGTCTAAGAATGTTTTACGCTCGAGTGACATGTAGCTGAATGAAACCTTCATTTTCACTAGATCGACACAGCACTAACTTCGCGTGACTTACGATACCCCGGCGGGGAAAGTCATTATTCTTGTTTCGTCATAAAACTTCGTTTCTTTTTCAGCTTTAGAAAGTATACCTAAAATAACGCCCGCCAGTTAACCACCTGGAAATAAACCGCTAAAATCCCTCCTCGAGTTGGAATAATTGTGAAACGCAGACATTTTCAAAGAAAATAGAAATTAACAGATCGTTATTATAATATCGATTAATACACTGATGTAATTATCAATGTAATCAAATAGACCACAGCGTGTTCGTGCTCTGCACAAATTACATAAAGTTCCCGAAGTAGTAATCAAACTACGAGTATAATGACAGCATGCATAAATGAAAAATATCTTACTTCTCTCTCTCTCTCTCTCTCTCTCTCTCTCTCTCTCTCTCTCTCTCTCTCTCTCTCTCTCTCTCTC